TGGAAACAGTGGCTGACTTTATTTTGGAGGGCTCCAAAATCACTGCAGATGGTGATTGCACCCATGAAATTAAAAGACGCTTACTCCTTGGAAGAAAGGTTATAACCAACCTGCTGCTGCTGCTACTAAGTCACTTCAGTCATGTCCAACTCTGTGCGACCCCATAGACAGCAGCCCACCAGGCTCTCCTGTCCCTGGGATTCTCTGGGCAAGAACACTGGAGTGGGTTGCCATTTCCTTCTCCAATGCATGAAAGTGAAAAGTGAAAGTGAAGTCGCTCAGTCGTGTCCAACTCTTTGCGACCCCATGGACTGCAGCCTACTAGGCTCCTCCATCCATGGGATTTTCCAGGCAACAGTACTGGAGTGGGGTGCCATTGCCTTCTCCGTATGACCAACCCAGACAGCATATTAAAAAGCAGAGATATTACTTTGCCAACAAGGGTCCGTTTAGTCAAGGCTGTGATTTTTCCAATAGTCTTTATGTGTGTGGGAGTTGGACTATAAAGTAAGTTGAGCGCCAAAGAATTGATGCTTTTGAACTGTGGTGTTGGAGAAGACTCTTGAGAGTCCCTTGAACTGCAAGGAGATGCACCCAGTCCATCCTAAAGGAAATCAGTCCTGACTATTCATTGGAAGGACTGATGTTGAAGCTGAAACTCCAATATTTTTGCCACTTGGTGTGAAGAGTTGACTCATTTTAAAAGACCCTGATGCTGGGAAAGATTGAAGGCGGGAGGAGAAGGGGATGATAGAGGATGAGATGGTTGGGTGGCATCACTGACTCAATGGACATGAGTTTGAGTAGGCTCTGGGAGTTGGTGATGGACAGGGAGGCCTATTATGCTATGGTCCATGGAGTCGCAAAGAGTCAGACACTACTGAGCAACTGAACTGAGCTGAAAGCATTGTGAAACAAATTAAACAAGGCCCAAATAAATAGAGATAACATGCAAGTAGATTGAAAGAGTCAATATAGTTCTCCTTAAATTGATCAAGATTCAACACAGTCCAAGTTAAACTCTCAATAACTTTTCTTTTTTTAGCAGAAAATAAGAGGATCTTAGTATCTGTATGGAAAAGCAAGGGCCAAACAGATCTTAGACAAAACCAACTTGAAGAATTTCTTTACCTAGTTTGAAGACTTACTGTGAATCTACAGTAATGAAAGCAGTGTGACATTGGTGTAAGAATGGGTAAATGAAGCAAATGGATTAATATAAAGAGTCCAGAAATACACATACATACATATTTATAGTCAATTGAGTTTCAGCAAAGCACCAAGACATTTCAGTGAGTAAAGAAGTCTTTAATAAATGATGGTAGGACAGCTGGATAAACATACAGAAAGGAAAGAACCATACACAGTACCTCACACAGTACAGAGAACTTGATATAAGATGAATCGTAGGCTAAATGTAGAAACTAAAGCTGTAGAGATGTGAAAGGAAACAGAAAAGTATTTTTACAACTTTGGAGTAGGTGAGGATCTCTTTTAAGACAGAAAGCACTGCTGTAAATAATGATCAACTGGACATCATGAAAATTAAAAATTTCTGCTAATTAAAGCTCATCATTAAGCAATAAACTAATCTAGATAAAGCATATGTGAGTCTTCTGTGTTCTATTCTTGATACTTTTCTTTCAGAGATTTCCAAATAAAAAGATACCATTATGATAACATGCAGGAAAATACTCATTTATATATATATATATACATATACATATATATACATATACATATATATAAACACACAAACATATACATAAATGAGATTGAACACTAAAAGCTGTACATTTCAGTTATACAGATCTTACCCCAATAAATAAAAGAGACCATATCTGTTTATCTTTATGATATCTATTCATCATGCATGGTAGAATGTTGACCCTCTTGTAGGCTCCTGTTGTGCACAATACATATATTTTAAACTCCTTACCTTAGCATAAAGCCCCAGCATGATTTGGGCTGTTACCTCTCCTTTCTATCTCACGTCTCTCTCTTACCTGTTGAGTCCTAGCCCTGCTGACTTTACTGTCTGAAGTAGTTTATTTCTTGATGTTTTCTAGTTCAGTCTCTTTTTTTTTGTCTCCTTCACTGCATTTGGGATAACTTGCATTTGTTTTATCTCATTATACTTTTTTTACCTGCTTTTTCCACTAGACTAGAAGCTCTAGGAAGGTAGCGATCCTGACTTTTTCACTGTTGCATTCCCCAATATATACCCAGGATGTTGCTTGGCTCAGGGAATATTGGTTGAAAAAGTGAATGAATGAATGTTCCTATTGTTCCATCTGTTGATGAAGTGGGAGTATACTCAGATAGCCCTCTGTTTGGAGTGTGGTCCATACCTCTTCAAATAAAAATGACATGGTCTTATCCCTACAAGCAAAGCAAACCTTAGTGAAATGGTGTCTCAAATAATTTTTTGGTTGATGACAATCAAACATTTTGTTTGATTCAAGGGAATTTTTTGTTCTTATTTTCTTTGTGGAATTGCTGTATGTATAGTCTTTCATCTCCTAATCAGTACTTGATACTGAAGAGAGTGAAAAGCAGCCCTTTTAACAATGCCTTACAAACATACTCGATCCTGAATCCTGTTGGTAAAATGTGTGAGCACACTAACCATACAGATACATTTATTATTTCAAATATATATAAACATGTTGCACTACTATATATGTAATGAAAGTTACATAGATACAGTTTAAAAGGTTGGTATGAAAGGTGATCTAATATTTTTTGCCTCCCCTTCATGTGTTGCTCCCACTTTGAAGAGAGTATCTTAGGGCAAATATTCCACATTTTCTTATCTCTGTAAGGGTAAAACCTCAGTAGTGTTAACACTTTTGCATTTTAAACCTTAACTCTGACAATGGCTTGAAAGGCTTTATTGCTTTTTAAATGAATTTATGGTATTGTTTAGTGCAGGTAGGATAGAATTTTTAGGTCTGGGGAATATTCTGAAATCATGTCTCCTAATATTTACTGTACCTGTTTTTAACATTGTTCAGTGATAGTTTTAATGAGATTAGAAAAGTGGGAAGGGAAGGCAAGGGATAGGTCTGGAAAATCCTGTGTTGATTTACACTATAGTTAATTACACTATAAATATTGGTAGCTGTATATTTGAATGAAATGTCTCCTTGAGGAATTGCTAATTGTAGAAAATTAGCAGTTAGTGCACCCAGACAAAGTTGCTCAAAATTAGGGAAAATACCACTATTATTGGAGAATAAAAAGACAGTTTCTAAGGAAGCATCAATAATTCAGTATAGCAGCTTGAGACAGGTTTGGATATTTTAAGCCTGCTCTGTTACCTCTGAGACCTAAAAGAAGCAGAACATAAAAATGAGCCTCTATCAATTTGAAGCAAACCTAATCTCTGTGATCATAGCTGTGGTCTAAATCTATTAAAGATGTTCAAATTCAGTGTCCTTGGTATCACTGTGGGTTGACCTGCGTAGTGAGCAATAAACTTGTGTATTATAATTCTGGCTTGAAGATATGTGCTTAGAAAGTGAAACTGACAGTCAGTGTTTTGTGTCTGTCTCTAAGCAGGCCAAGAGCCTATATAAAATGACAGGTGAATTTTTAGGAAAAGAAACCCATAATGTTTTCCTATTTAGTAGGTGACAGTATGTCCCAAGATAACACAAGCTTAAGGGGCTGGAACAAGCATGGTTATTAAAGGCTAGCAGTTTCTCAGTTCATACAAATTGAATTTTTTCATAGGCTGGAAGACTAGTAATATAGGGTAGAGTACTGAAATAAATTAGCATATTAAGTGAATTTATACACTCAGGCATGTGAGCATGTGAGCACTTTGAATTTAAGGAAGACATTTTATTACTTCTTCAAAGAAAAAGCAATTTTTAAATCCTGCATTTGATCTCCCTGTTGAAAAGGGCCTATATGATAGATTATATCATCTTGATGATTATCCAAAGAAGTGGTTATTATATTGATGGGAATCTTTTTCTCTTCTCTCTCTTTTTTCAGAATTACTGATTTGAGGAACATAAAAAGAAGATTGTATTTATCAACAGTCCACAAGGAATTGTCTTCAACCCCTCTTCATGCAAAAATCCCACTCTTCATGATCAAGCGCAAAATTGTAAGTGTCACATGAATATTGCTTAAAATATTAAATTTATTTCAGTAAATACTAATCCTGGGCCTACTCTGTATATGAAGCATTTGTTAGCTTCCATGATTGTATTAAAAATGAATAGATGTATTCTCTTCCCTCCAGTGAAAGAGCTTAAGATTTGTGAGGTGGAAAAATATAATTGTTTGAATATCTAGAATATCACCAAAACTGTGATAGGAAGCACTGTAGAGAGAGAAAGTGCTGTTGGTACAGTGAAAGGGATAGAAATCGATCTGACTGCAGGATAAGAAAAGGTTTCACAATTACACTCATCTCACACACTAGTAAAGTAATGCTCAAAATTCTCCAAGCCAGGCTTCAGCAATATGTGAACTGTGAACTTCCAGATATTCAAGCTGGTTTTAGAAAAGACAGAGGAACCAGAGATCAAATTGCCAACATCCACTGGATCGTTGAAAAAGCAAAAGAGTTCCAGAAAAACATCTATTTCTGCTTTATTGACTATGCCGAAGCCTTTGACTGTGTGAATCACAATAAACTTAGGAAAATTCTGAAAGAATGGGAATACCAGACCACCTGACCTGCCTCTTGAGAAACTTACTGTATGCAAGTCAGGAAGCAACAGTTAGAACTGGACATGGAACAACACACTGATTCCAGATAGGAAAAGGAGTACATCAAGGCTATATATTGTCACCCTGCTTATTTAACTTATATGCAGAGTACATCATGAGAAACGCTGGGCTGGAAGAAGCACAAGCTGGAATCAAGATTGCCGGGAGAAATATCAATAACCTCAGATATGCAGATGACACCACCCTTATGGCAGAAAGTGAAGAAGAACTAAAAAGCCTCTTGATGAAAGTGAAAGAGGAGAGTGAAAAAGTTGGCTTAAAGCTCAACATTCAGAAAACTAAGATCATGGCATCCGGTCCCATCACTTCATGGCAAATAGATGGGGAAACAGTGGAAACAGTGGCTGACGTTATTTTGGGGGGCTCCAAAATCACTGCAAATGATGATTGCAGCCATGAAATTTAAAAAAAGCTTACTTCTTGGAAGGAAAGTTATGACCAACCTAGACAGCATATTAAAAAGCAGAGACATTACTTTGTCAACAAAGATCCGTCTAGTCAAGGCTATGGCTTTTCCAGTTAGTCATGTGTGGATGTGAGAGTTGGACCATAAAGAAAGCTGAGTGCCAAAGAATTGATGCTTTTGAACTGTAGTGTCAGAGAAGACTCTTGAGAGTCTCTTGGACTGCAAGGAGATCCAACCAGTCCATCCTGAAGGAGATCAGTCCTGGGTGTTCATTGGAAGAACTGATGCTGAAGCTGAAACTCCAGTACTCTGACCACCTGATGTGAAGAGCTGACTCATTGGAAAAGACCCTGATGCTGGGAAAGATTGAGGGCAGGAGGAGAAGGGGACGACAGAGGGTGAGATGGTTTGATGGCATCACTGACTCAATGGACATGAGTCTGGGTAAACTCCAGGAGTTGATGATGGACAGGGAGGCCTGGTGTGCTGCAGTTCATGGAGTCACAAAGAGTTGGACACAACTGATCGACTGAACTGAACTGAACATGAAGGAGATTATTCCTGGGATGGACTTTGAAGGACTGTATTAGTAGAATTTCAACAGGTAGAGGTGAAAGACTGAGCATTTCTAGCATACATGAAAATGTGGAGGCTGGAAAGTGCGGTGTATTTGGAGAACAGAGAATGATGCAACATTGTTCCCAGATTTCGTAAAGTAGCCTTAAGGAAACCTCAGTTCTATAATCCAACAGCCTGGTACAGGTTGGGAGATTTGTGTAACCTCCGAGACACCAAGCAGAGTAATGTATAAGTAGGTAAGCAGTAGGTTACAGGCTAATAAATTTTGGCCTGATAAGACTGACTAGTCTTTTTCAAATGTCAGTCATTTCAGTACTACTCTCATGACTTTACCATGTTTGGATACTAACTGTTCCAGTGTAAATAATACTTTTCCTTTTAAACCAACTCAACTTTTTTTTTTACTTAAATTTATTTTTTTTAAGTTATATCATACTTATGAATGGAAAATCAGTATAACTTTCCAGAAATAGAAATTATCCATTAACAATAAACATACTGAAAACAAACAGTATTTTAGAGTCTAGCTAAGTAAAGGGTTCTGTCCTGAGGCCTACTCTTTTATTAACAGGCGTTTATCAAGAGTTAGATATATGTTGAAGCATTTTCTTGGGCATAACTAGGATTGAAACAAAACTGATAGAGGGAAATTTTTATTCTGTGATCCATAGCCACTTAATGCCATGCCCATGAACAGTCTAAAACCATTTCACATACAATGCATATTCCACTCTTTGGGAGCCACTTTAGAGAGAAAAAGAAGCAGTTAAGCTTGGTTTAAAGAGAACATACAGTCCATTCTGTACTTGGGAAGATTAATCTGGTAATGACATTTGGAATGGCTTGAGGGGACTAAAAAGTGCAGACGAGGAAAACATATGCAGTGCTCCAGATTGGGATTAATAAGGACTAGGGCAGTAGAAGTGGAGGAATGGATGTGAGATAACATCAGAAGCTTATGGTCCAAAGAACTAAGACATACTTAAACAGAGCGGTTCTGTATCATGTAGTACATGCTGCCTGAGCAGAACCCACAGTGACTGCGGAGCACCAGGGGGATGGTCAGAGAAGAGCTCCTAAAGAAGAGGATGCCTGAGTTGGGCCCTGAAGGATATGATGGCATTAACCAGCTTGAGTGGGGGTGGTATTCCTGGAAGAGAAGGAGTAGCAGTGAGAGTAGCTGCATGAGATGTGCAGTAAGTCCAATAACTCAGTGTTGCTGAAGAGAGGCGGTAGGAAAGTAGTAAGGCTGGAGAGGAGAACTGGGCAGTCTCTTGATGGGCCTTGTGTTTACAGCCACAGATCCTGAACTTCTATCTCACAGGTGATAGGGAGCTACTGAAGGGCTTGCAGGAGGAGTGCCTGGTCAGATTTGCATTTTAGATGGAATATCACTTTGGAGGATGGGTGGGAAGGATGAGACTGGAAGTCAGCAGGACCAGTTAGAAAGTCAGTGCAAGTGTAGCAAGAAGGTAAGCTCCATGAGAGCAGGGTTTTGTATCATTTTTTCATTTGTATCATTTTGTCGGTCTAGGACCTGACTCCTCCTTGACACTTGGAGATTCAGATGGTAAAGAATCTGCCTGCAGGTTGGCCTCCACCTAATAAAAATAAATGGAAAAAAAAAAAAAAAGAAGAATCTGCCTGCAGTGCAGGAGACCCAGGTTCAATCCCTGAGTTAGGAAGATACCTTGCAGAAGGGACTATCCCACTCCTGGAATAGCAATCTGGAGAATTCCATGGACAGAGGAGCCTGGTAGTGATAGCTTACTGTGAATGATATTGAATTCATGATCTACAAAGAAGAAGTTTTATCTTCAGAACAAGGACCCAGTTTGATCACTCAAAAGCTTTTGTGTAGAGGAGTTTTATTAAAATTTATAAAGGGACAGAGGAAACTTCTGACATAGACATTACAAAGGGGACGGAGAGTTCTCCCCTCACTAATCTTAGCAAGGGAGCTATATACTTTTTTAATGGATTATTACAGTAAATCAAAAGAATGTCTCAAGGTTGTAAAGGTCTTACCAGACCCACTCCCAGAATATACATTTTAAGATAACAGGATTAGTCAGAAGGTTCTTAAGAAGGAAAAACATGTCTTTAAGCAGGATACATTGTTGCTATATAATCACTGGTACAGAGTTTAAGGGAAAACATATCCTTGAGCAAGGTGAGTTGTTTTGTTGTGCAATCATCAGCTCTGGGCTTAAAGAAAAAAACATTTGTCCTTTTCTTCTCCTTGAGAACTCCAGACCCCTATATCCCCCTTAAGAGCCCCAGACCTCTCTCTCCTCCTCGGGGACCCCAGACTTCTTATCAACCTACCTAGGAATTGACTCTCCCAGTAGGCTACAGTCCATGAGGCGGCAAAGAGTTGGACACGACTGAGCAACTAAGACACACAGAGACACTTAATAATTATAAAGATGGATGAATGAGTAGATGAATGATCTAGGTAAAAAAAATGAGGTCCTGAAGTTGGAAAATAGAAATCAGAGTGTAGATGAGGAAACGGAGTTGAAAAATAACTATAGGTATTAGTTTTAATTGAAAATTAATTAGAAATGAAGAAGAAGGAAAAGTCAAGGATGACGCTGAGTTGACTTCCTAGTTTGGATGACTGGCAACAGAATCAATACATAGAAATCCAGGAGAAAGAAGGTTAGAAAGGAAACATGGAAATGTTGGTAAAGGAGTCTGAAACATTCAGATTGAGAATGGGGTGATTTGGGGGCCTCTTGATGAAAGTGAAAGAGGAGAGTGAAAAAGTTGCCTTAAAACTCAACATTCAGAAAACTAAGATCATGCCATCAAGTCACATCACTGTATGGCAAATAGATGGGGAAACAGAGACTTTATTTTGGGGGGCTCCAGAATCACTGCAGATGGTGATTGCAGCCATGAAATTAAAAGACACTTGTTCCTTGGAAGAAAAGCTATGACCAGCCTAGACAGCATATTGAAAAGCAGAGACATTACTTTGCTGACAAAGGTCCATATAGTCAAAGCTATGGTTTTTCCAGTAGTCATAGATGGATGTGAGAGTTGGACTATAAAGAAAGCTGAGTGCCAAAGAATTGATGCTTTTGAACTGTGGTATTGGAGAACTCTTGAGAGTCCCTTGGACTGCAAGGAGATCCAACCAGTCCATCCTGAAGGAGATCAGTCCTGGATGTTCATTGGATGGACTAGTGCTGAAGCTGAAACTCCAATACTTTGGCCACCTCATGCGANAGACCTGGGTTCAATCCCTGGGTCGGGAAGATCCTCTGGAGAAGGAAGTGGCAACCCACTCCAGTATTCTTGCCTGGAAAATCCCATAGATGGAGGAACGTGGTAGGCTACAGTCCACGGGGTCACAGAGAGTCAGACACAACTGA